CCTCCGCCAGCCCCCACCACGGGGTCCTTGCCAGGCTTGGCCCGCTGAGTGCCCTCCTCCTCCTGGTCATTGAGCAGCTTGGCTAGAAAGTTGATGTACTTCATGGCCAGGCGGAGAATCTCATTCTTGCTGAGCTTCTTGTCTGGAGGGTGCGTGGGAATCAGCTTGCGGAGCTCAGCAAAGGCCCCATTCACATTCTGCTGCCGCCATCGCTCCCGGCTGTTGGTGAAGATGCGCCTTACGACTTTGGTATGGGGACCTGGAGGGCAATAGGACAAGGGTTAGGAGAATGGGTTGGAAATCTCCCAAGGATCTTTTCCTGTGGGGAAGGAGAAAAGCCATCCACTGGGAAACTTGGGAAACTTAGAATGCCTTCTTTCCTTTTACTTAGAAAACTCTTACTCATCCTTCAAAACCCAGTTCATCTGTTTCCTCCTCTCTGAGGGCTCCTCTCAAACCCTCCAGAGATATCTGACCAACCACAATGGCCTTACAATCCCTGGACCTCCGTTACTCTTGATCACTGCTGTATGCTTGTATGCTTGTCTCTCTCTTCTGGGCTCTGAGACATTTGAGAACAGGGACCACATATCATTCATTCATTCATTCATTCACTCACTCACTTGTACCAAGAGGCCATATTACATTAGTTACAAAAACAAACTCTGGAGCCAGACTTTCTGGGTTCAATACCTGACTATTACTCACTACATAGTGACTCTGAGCAAGTTACTTAAACTCTTTCTGCCTCAGCTTCATTATCTGTAAAATGGAGATAATACTAATCACTCAAGCATAAGATTATCACATGGATCTAATAACTAACATAGGCAAAGTACTTAAGACAATACCCACCTCAGATTAAACATCCGTTCAATAAATAAATGTGAGCTATTATTATCTGTGCATCAGTTATTTCCTAACAACCAGGCACTGAGCCAAGCACTAAGGAATAATGGTGAACAGGACAGAGTGACTGCCCTCCTGGAGCACACATTTTAATGGGGATGACAGATGATAAACACACAGCAAACAGATAGCAAGCAGATAAGAGGCTGGATGTAAATAAAAGATGGAAAGGAGCTACCACGTTTAGCTGAGTTGGTTGGGGATGGCATTTTGGAGGTGGTGACATCTATAAAGTAAGAACTTAAGGCTGAAGAAGAGCCAGCTAGGCACAGGAAGAGGGAATGGCATGTGCAAAGGCCCTGAGCCAAAAAATGGCTGACGCCAGCCTGGCTGGATTAGTGTGGGTGAGATCAGGGTAGGCTGAGTCCAATCCCATAGGGCGCTGCAGCAAGGTATGGGGATTTTATTCTAAGGGTGACAGAAAACACAGAGTAAGGGTTTAGTAAATGTTTGCTGGTTGATCATGCCGGCAGGTGAGGAAATGGAGGAGCGCACGGAGACCGAAGGGAAAAGGACTTTACTCTGTGGGCTCTCTCCCCAGGAGAGGAGCAGAGAGACAGCCATGCACAGGCTCAACCTGAGCCTCTAGGCAAGCATCTGAGGGCCGCCTCAGTCTCTCCTTGTCTACAATGCGCTGATTATAGACGGGATTAATATTCACTGGGTTCATGTACTAAGACTTACAGAGCAGTGACAGACAGCGGCATGCATGTATCTAGAATGCACGGTGTGCAAAAGCGTAACACATTATGTCCAGGCCTGACCTGGGATTCCCAAAGCCAGGAACACAGAGGTGGGCCCTGCCAGTGCTCCTGAGCCCCTGGGCTGGGGTGGCTGCTTCCCTCCCCAACACAGCTGGGCTCCCAGCAGTTCTCAGGAAGCTCTGCACACTGGAGGAACTGTCAGTACTGGCATATTTGTTTGTTCTCTTCCTATAACTCTTGGAACCAGACCTCAGAATGTGGAAACTTGGTCAGGGGAAAAGAGGAAAGGAAAAGTCAAGACAACACCTAAGACCTACTTCTCATTTCACAGCTAAGGAGATTGAGGCCAGGACAGAGGAGACCTTGCCTCCAAGGTCAGTCTGTGACCCAGTCCATCCATGCCAACACTTTCTGCTTGATTCTCTCTCTCCTACATATGTGCACATGCACATATGCACACACACATACACACACACACCATGTTTTCCCAGGGAAGATCACTCATGCCCTGCCATAGTGCCTCTGAAGCCCTCTTTCCAAATCCCAACAGGCCCCAGCCCCAGCCCAGCTGACTCTCTGCCAAAGGCCAGACTTATCCTGCACCCTCACATCCTCCCCTTCACCCTCATTTCTACCTATTCTTCTCTGGCTCCTTCCTGGAGAACTACTCCTCTCCCTGCACCTTCCTCTTTCCTGAGTCTGTCCATCCTGTATGCCCTCTGTCTCTCTCTGCCAGTCGTAGGTGCTCTGTCAATATTGGTAACATTATGGGTAATGGCTTCCCTAACCCTCCTGCACTCTCCCCAAACCCTTGCCCCTTTCCATCTCCTTCCTCTCCTCTGTGCCTGATTTCCACTGCTTCTGCCCTTTGTAGACCTCTTCCCTGGGGAACTTCAGGGCTGGTCCTGCCTACTTCCTGTTTGGTACCTCCACCTTCCCCCTCTAACCTAGCAGCACTGACACTCCATCACCCTTCCCTTTGGCCCTACACCCCTGAGCCCCAGGCTGGTTGGGTCTTTTGAGGTCTTTACCTTCTCCAGACTCCAGGCCCTCTCCTCTCCAGAAGACCACACAGAGGGCTCCCCCCAGAAGCTCCAGCTCAATACACATCCCTCCCACCTGCCCCTTGCATAAATCTCAGCCTGGCTCCAAGGCCTCAAGTGCCCTTCCTTCAGGAGCCCAGCCAGGCTGAGCACTGGGAGCTCCAGGGATTTCCTCCACATCCCTCAGCTCTGAAGAGCCTGCTCTCCTGCCTCCCGGTGCTGGGCTACATAAGGTCAACCTTGGAAAGTGGGAAGAGGTCTTCCAAATTTCCCACTCATTCAACCCCTTCCCCCAACTTCAGGGCCAAAGACTACTCATGCAATACGTAAGAGCAGGCTAGGGCCCTTCTGGGGAAGCGAAGGGGCAGCAGGAATCTAGTGTCAGGAAGGGAACTCAGGTCTCAGCCCTGAGTGTGGAACAGGGGACAAGAGGACTTCACAATGTAGGAACTTGGAAGGAGACCCTTGAAGGTGCAATTCCAAGCAAGGAGCAGACTCGAGAGAGGTCTTGGAAGAAAGTGCAGGGAATCCTTGAGGGTCAGTGCTTGATGTGGACAAGAGGACTTCACCATGTAGGAACTTGGAAGGAGACCCTTGAAGGTGCAATTCCAAGCAAGGAGCAGACTCCAGACTCCAGAGAGGTCTTGGAAGAAAGTGCAGGGAATCCCTGAGGGTCAGTGCTTGGTGTAGGAGCACCTGTGATTCTGTCTTCCCCCAGGATCCTTGCCAAATGTAGAAATGGAGCTAGAGTGGGGACTGCAAGTCACCCTTAGAGGTTTGGGCTAAATGCCACAATGTGTCTTCATTCCCATGTCCCCTGTTCTCTAGTCCCAGCTCAGTTGCAAGTTGACTTCTGGCAATTTGGGGTTCCAAGGTAGCCTGCCCATCCACATGAGACATCTAGTAGTCGTCCAAATGATCCCTCCTTTAGGGGGCTCTAATAAGCATGAGGGGCAAATAACAAAGGTAGAGGCAGATAGACTCACCATCAGTAATCTCCATCTCATAAGGGGAGGGTCTCCTCTTTACTCGGTTGTTGGTGGCAAACATAGGAAAGGCATCTGGCTCCCCAAAGAACCCACTGTAGGAAAGAGCAAGCAGATCACAAGATCACATGTAGGGTGGAGGTGAGACAGAGGCTCTTTAACAATCTTCCTGCATGTCCTTGAGCCCCCACCCCCCACCCCACCCCTGGAAAAACAAGAGCAACCCTGGTTCCTTCATACCTGAATTGGGGATAGGAGCATGAAAAACACACACACACACACACACACACACACATACACACGGAATCAGAGGTGAACATATGGAACAAACACAAAAATGAACACACACACCCCCTACAGATAGACATACTCCCCTCCCCCCAAACAAGCACACAATCCACAGACAACCTCCACTCTCAGCAGCAGCTCACACAGGCGGACGTGGCCTTCACACTTGGTGGTGTGCAACTCCAGCACCACAAAAGCGCACACTGTTCCCTCCCTCCAACCTTCCTCCACCTTACCCCGGCCCCATGGGCCCTGTGGACAGACAACAGACAGGAAACCCTGACTCACCACCGCTGACATGCTCCCCCCATCGCCCACTCTGGGCTCTCTATAGCTTCTCTCTGGAGCCTACTGTGGACTCACTGGCTGTCTATCCCCACCCCAACCTGGCCTCCCTTTCTCCACCTTCCCAGTGGCCTCAGTGGAAAATGGATACCCTCACACCCAAGGGTTGGTGGAAAGGCTTGGGGCCAGACACCACAGCGAGGGGCAGCGGGGCTGAGGAGAGGAGGAAGGGATCCATTCCCCAAACGGACCGGGAGCGGAGATTCAGATGCAGAGGGGTCCCGCTTCCCACCGCCCTCAGATCCTTTTCTCTTACCTGCCCCCAGGGGGCTGCAGCGTCCAGAAGAATTTCACAGCGGAGCACATTCAGACACACACCTGCCTGGCACCCGCACTCACTGACTCCCTTCTGTTGTCCCCGCCTCCCAACCACACTGCACACCGCGCTTCTCACACCCAGCCGCAGGCCCGCACTCTCCCTCCTCGGCTCGCTCGCACCCCGGCGCGCCGCAGTCACAAGGCACCTCCACCTCTGCCCGCGCGCACACGCGCTCCCAGCGGGCTCATTCCTCACTCGCACGCGCACGGGGCTCCCAGGCTTTCACGCCCATGAGTTTAAAACACCCCCTCTCTTCTTGCGCTCCAGGCTCGCGTTCCCGAAGCTCAGACGGGGAGGCCCCGGGCCCGTGACCTTCTGCCCGCCGCCCGCTCCCCGCGCCCTCCCGCCGGGCACTGACCTGCCGAGCGAGGCCAGCGGCTGGCCAAGGCTGTAGAGCAGCGTGCG